ATGGTACTTTACACGTGCCAAAAAGATGGCACAAAGGTGCAGGGATCTTTTTACCATCCCTTTTGATAATTGCGTACTGGTATGTTTCAGTATACGTTATTGTAGACTAATTTGTGCTTATACTCTATAGCCAATAAAGAATATTCTAATGTATTCTCAGTGAACTCTCAATGCAACCAGTGATATGGCATAGGATACGCAGTGTCATCATGACTATGGTGATGAAAGCGATTAGCGTTGCCATTGACACAAATGACTTAAACAACTTGCCAGATGTTTACAGTTACATGGGTTACATGTTCTGTAGTGTAACTTGTTTATTTGGACCATGGGTGTCATTTAAAGATTATCTGTCGCTGCGTTACTCTAGCAGTCAGGTATTTAAAAAAATAAGCGTATCATTTTTATCACTAAAATATACAAAAATATGCCTACTAATAAAAAACAGGTTTTTAAAAACCGTTTCTAAGATAATTTAAAATAGAGAGACGCAATGATATTTAATAATAAAATTAATAATAAAATTCTCTATATTACACAGACAAGATGGTGGATAATATGTAGTATAGGATTTGCTTTCCTTTCCTTTGTCTTCCTGAGTATTTCAAATTGCTGGACGCAATGGATATTTGTGGATAACTCTTGGAAGTTAGTATGTACAATTCAAAAGTTTCTGATGAATATTTAATGCTTTCATGTAAAGAAATATTTTTTTCTTCACAGGTGGTTAATAGCGTACAAAGATGCATTATCCTTCAGAACATCCCATTACTTTGTTTCGTACATAGCTTCGGCACTGCTGGTTTTCGGAGGATTTCCCCTTTCATCGTCGACGATAGTTAAGCCCTTGTACATCGAGTTTCCACGCTCGCTTGTTCAGGTCGTCATTTTTTGGAATATTCCAATGCATCACTGGCTAAAAACGTGTATGTGTAAAATCTGAATTCAAAATAATTCTTACTCAAATAATTCTTAATCAATGATAAAGAATCTTGTAACAAGGCATTGAAGACTAAAAATGAAATTTAAATTTTAATTCCTGCATCATTTTCCAGACATATTCCGTCCTAGTATTAAAAACTTGGGAAAGTTTGGAGCAGTGATCATCACGTATCTGATAAGTTCTCTTTTACACGGATTGAACTTTCAATTGGCGGCCGTGTTACTTAGCCTAGGACTTTACACGTATGTGGAATTTCAGCTTAGGGCCACGCTCGCCGACACCTTCGATGCTTGTATCGCGTCCAAACAGTGCACAAAGAGAAAATGCATGCACAAATACAGCTCTCATAACTGTATAGTATTTATGACAAACTTGATGTTTTCTTTCGGGGCGATATTTCATTTAGCTTACTTAGGTCTCATGTTTGATACATCGGATCTCCAAGAAACAGGGTACAGCTATAATCACACAATCAACAAGTGGGCTGAGCTCGGATTTGCTAGTCACTGGGTAGCATTAGCTACGTATTGCATTTATCTTTTAACTAAGTAGCGAATTATTTTTTATATTAAAAAAAATTTTCGAGAGAGAGAGAGAGAGAGAGAGAGACTATTCAAGAACTTTTAAAAATAAACTGATTTATATACAAATCAGATGATTTTACAGCATTTTACAAACAGCTTTTCTATGCAGTTGAAGTGTAAATAACAGGATATAACACTAATATTCAAAAAAGATAAATAAAATACATATTCTTTATTGAATATATAACACAATATAAAGTTCACTGCGTGATCTAGATTTACTTTATAAATTTTTTTAATAATTATATACGTAGCACATTTAGTAATTTGTAATTATAAAAAAAGTTTACAAAGAGTATTTAAGTATACAATGTTAAATAATACTCTTTCAATATCTCGCATCCTAATCTAATGTTACATTAAATGTCACTTTTGTAATGAATAGAAACATTTTTGCACTCTAAGATTTTTTTTTTCCCTTATTAATCCACTGTGATTAGTAATGTTGCATTTGTAATATTACTATGCAACATAATATTATAAGTTAACTACTGTATAATTTTTATGTACACTTGCAGATTTATGGATAAATTCTAAGCAGAAATGTAAGAGAGAGACTCGTCGTAAAACTTGTAAGAATTTATAATTGGTATTGTAATTTTATGCATATGTACCTTAGCTTCTGCTTAAAATTAACCAAATTATTTTCATGACAATGATTGTATTCTTAAAGATATAAATGGTCTCGTTGCATATAATATTACAATTAAACATTACGCAATGAAGAAATGCTATACATAATTCACAATTCTTAACAGACATCCGAATTTCGTAGACTTGCTATCATTTTATAATTTACACAATGCATTTATTCGAAAATAAATAATTGCTTTCTACAAATTTTTGGGAACCTAATGGCAAATAGACTTTATTTTCCTAAACATCACATTTGAATAACATGTGTTCTTAAACACTAATAATTAGCAAAAAAGCTATGACTTCTATATTCATTGTATAAATGAATACGCAGCTAATGTATACATATATATATATATATATACACACATATATGTATATAAATCTAATGTATAAACTACATACATATGTGTAAAAGCATTTGTATGTGTATATTTAGTCGAGGACCTTGCACTAAAAACTATTATTGACATGTCTATATTTTTAGTTTTATGTATCAACTTCATAAAAAATAATAAACTTTTTTTATTATAATTATCTTAGATATAGCGTGACATCGTCTATAAACAACAATTATAGTTACTCTTACGACTGCCGTCTATATTATTTATTATTGATATTTGAAATTGACAATTCCTTTTTGCTGCCTAGAACAGATTCTGGCGATATAATTTAATTTTTTGTTACATTTTAAAACACATTTTTCTTCTTTTGATTTTTAACTTACATGAAAAGAGAATTTTATCTTCATTAATTATCTGAGATACTTAGAAATATAAAATTAGAAAAGAATATTATATTAGAAAATTAATATCTTCAATTATTCTTGTTGTAAACAAGAAAGTTAAAAAGCAAGGTTTAAGCTGTGGAGAATCTAAGAAACCTTCTATAGTTTATTAAATTTTAATAAATTGTTGCAGTTATTACTATACATTCAATAAGTAACTGATACATGCTCAATTAAATATATTTATATGTAGATATATGAAAATAAAAATGTATTATAAGTTAAAAATCGTTAAACAGATTTTATTTTAATGTATGACACAAATCATATCAAGATATGATACAAACAAAATACTTGAAAATAAAATTTTAATTTTTTGTAATCTACTAATTAGTTTTAATAAATTATATTAATTTTAATTGAATGGATTTCAAAAAGGTAGTAAAACTTTATGCCAAATATTATATTCTACTATAAATTTCTATTAATTAAGATATATTTTCATATAATTATTTATATATCTTGTCACTTTGGTGTAATACTCATTAAAATAAAGTTGTTCATTTAGCAATTATAAATACGATTTTATTACAATCTTTTTACTGTATGTAAAAACGTTTGTTCTTTCCACTATTAATAAAAATACTGCACTGTAAAAGTGACGCTTTTTGAAGCGTTACACATTGCAAAGTGCAATTTTTGAGATTATTAAAACAACTTAATATGTACAGAAAAGGTATTCGTAAGAGTAACAGCTTAATTTTAAACTTGTACTTAAAGGTATTCCAAATATTTCATAATTAACTTACACTGTTATATATGTACAATTTACAAAGTGCTCTACATCAGAATATCCAATATCACGTCATCCTATCTTCAGGCCAATTTGAATCATATAATGAATCATCGAAAATATTAATTATTGGATATTTTTACGTAAAACGTTATTAAAATTTTTTTTCTTTTTTTAGAGCACAAAAATTTTCAGTGTATAATAATTGTTATAATTTCACATCACATTTCTTGATATGTTTTACGTTGAAGCAATCGCGTTAAAATTTTTTGTATAAGTTACGTAATTAAATTCTGTTCATGATATGTTTACAAAAAGACCTGAAGATAAATAATATTCCTTACATATTAAAATTGTGTCTTTAATAAAATGTTGCTAAAGTTGTCATTATCAATGTATGTATAATTGATGTTACAAAAAAAAAGAAAAAAAATAATATAAAGTCGCATTGCATATTTATAAAAATCTACATTTAATTTGTTTTCAATTAAATAAGAGATGTATGTATAATTTAACACATATTCAAGTTTTATATATAACAGATCTCTATAATTTTATGAATGCATTCAGCGGGAGATATGCTAAATAACATCGCTGGCAAAGTAAGTAGCATCGATCGTATATAAACTGCACATATAATATATACACTGGTATTGCAATTCTTCATCTAATGCGTTTGTCCAAAATAAAGCAACACAAATAAATTTTCAACAAGTGCCATAATTACAGTGTTTCGAGCTCTTTAACATTTGTTTTAATTGATCGAAATACAAGACAATTATATGCTTCTATAACATACTACATATTCTATATCACGATAATGCTAAATAAATTTTTATTTTTGCTAACTATCCAATTCCGGTTTGCAATAATTTTTTCACAACAATAAAAATTTGTATATATAATATAGATATACATATATACAAACTTGTATAATATTTTAATATAACAGAAAGTGTAATAAATTTAATTTTGAAGCAAGAAATTTATCATTACACTCCTTCAGTTTTGATCATGCAATGGATCAAAAGTCATTATTTTGTATTTTTAACAAGATATACATTAATTATAATGGAAAAACAATAATACTAATCTTACTTCATCAAATTATTAAAGATAATCATCAAATGTTTCTAATTTTTTAAATTTTGACAAAATGAAATAAAATAAAAAAATGTGTTCTTATATAGATTGTGTCACACTGTAAAATACATGTTTAACTGAACGTTGCGAAGAGAATAAGTACGTGAGCACTAAATTAACATTTTGGCAAAATTGAAAAAATTATTGAAAACAGAAAGTATAGGTATAAGTCGAGAAATGATTTTAAAAATATATAGCTACAAGTGCTCATTCTGACCAGCAGAAAGATGATATTAGAGTTAAAAGATGATATTATTAACAGATTCTCCTTTTTTTTGCAGACATTCAACGCATCGCAATACTCTGATACATGGAAGAACAATTAAAAGCTGTGTAAGCTATATATTAAATATCACTGCAACAAATTCATATCCCATGATGCAAATATGGCAAAACCATATTAATCAATAATGCAGTGTTGATGATTTTGGTAGAGATATAGTTTGATCTTCGTTGATTTATGATATAAAAAAGCCTGGGCAAAACTTGCTCGAGTTGAAGGATTGAAGATCAGAGTGAAGTGCTTTTTACTGAATGATGGGGTTTAAGCGATGAGATCTTCGGCGCTGGTGAGATGCTCCAGTTACCTGACAGTCCTCCCCAACGCCACTGGGAATATCGGTTAGTCATCTGATAAATGCACTTTTATAACTTTTTGTTGTGCGCGCACTGCAAGTCACAGAAATAAATGGGATCGGTTCGTTAGCCACCTCTGGTGCTACTTGTTTTATTGCATAAGCATTAAATGTAAATTGTTACGAGGCCTGGACTATATATGTAATATAAACTTCAACCTGTATAATGCATCTCTGTTCAACTGTTATTTGCCCAGGCCTATATAAGGTTCGTAGAATGTAATACATGCTAACAAAACGAGAACGAAACTTAGGAGTCATGCTACATGCAACATGGAACAATTAATCAAATCATGGTTTTTCCTTCTTTAAAAATCAATAAAAGAATAAAACAATAGTTAAAAATTTATATAATAACATAAATAGTCTTTTCAGTTAATTTAAAAAAAAAGTTCTAAAATATTTTTAAGATATTTATACATTTATATACATCTGTTAACAGATTTATATAAATCTATAAAGCTTCATAAATTATATCTATATATACTTATGGTGGTAAGTAGTGAGAAATATAAGAGATGAAAATATAAGATTAGATAGTCGTGTATAGAAAATATACTTGTACACTGCAGTGCATTAATTCGCTGGGTCATAGCAGCGGCCCGACTCATCGACGTTTATTTTTTACTCAAATACTATCAACTTTACAGAAAAACTGCAAGAGACAAAAATCATTAATTTTCTTTTCATAGAACTCTAAGAATTTTTTATCAACTTTTTAGTACTGCATTTTCTTATTTTCGGTAAGTCGGGCCGCTATTATGACCCAGCGAATTAATGCACTGCACTGTACGTTGACAATGAAGCAAAGCTAAAGAATCAGAAGCAATGGAAATTGGCAGGATGGAAGAGAGGGAATACTGTAAAAGTTCTTCACTTATACATCAAATAAGCAAGGACGAAAAAACTGCACAATCGTAAATTTAGATCCAAATTCGAGAAAACAGGGACAGTTATTGACTTACTGCCTGAGCGAATAGCGAGTAACTCGGTCTGCCGATCTGAGGATCATATTCATGCGTTGTTGCGGTTGCGATACTGAATGATTGGCAGACGAGTTTGTAGCGTGGGCCTGTGCAGCCATGCAGGAGGTACGTTTTGCCCTTCTCACTGGTTTTGATACGGTTAAAGATGTAACAGGATTGGTAGTAGTTGTATTGTTGTTGATGTTATGACTCTGTGTTGCCGGTTTAGACCTAATACGGCAGGAAGATGGATCACAGCTACTGTTGACCAACCAACTGTTTCTACAATTTCCAGTCAAGATAAAGAGACCCTATTTTTTTCGGATATGCATGCAATATTGATAATAATATAATTCGTTTTATTGATCTTATATATAAGAAGCATGTGTTAATGAATGTATGTAAGCGTAACTTAGAAGGAAAATGAGCAAATGAAAAAATATACGTGGATAATGTCATGGAAGAAAGAAGAAAGGCAAGATGTAGAAAAATACTTTGAATAAAAATAATAAACAAAGTAATGTATAGGAAGAAAAATAGATAGATAAATAATTGTTTAACCTTTTCACGACTGTCGTTGCGGTGGATCGTGATAACAGCCTTTTGGTGGGATCTCTTTCTTTATTTCCCACTAGAGCAGTAATGGCTCCTTTTTGACTTCTGGTTTGTAATAAGGGTCCCAAATATGGGCTATAATACAATATGCATATTAATCCCAATTTTTAAAAAACAGAAAGTTCTCTCTCTCTCTCTCTCTCTCTCTCTCTCTCTCTCTCCCTCACCCTCTCTCTACAATAAATATACTTACTGTACAACGGTAGATGTCCCTGTACTTGCATTAAGAGAAGTTTGAGCTGTCGATATGCCTCTTCTTCTAGCTTTAATTCTGCACAATTTATCACCTTGAGTCAACGTACTATATCTAGTCGTAGCGCTAGCCCCAGCCGCTGGTCCAGGATCGTCCAACTTTATTTCATCCACGCGATGCATTATCCCTGATACATTATCCTCCATCAGGTTCTTTACATCTCCTTGGAAAAAGGCTGCTTTAGGTCTACCAGCTATCGAATATATCCCACATGCATGCACTGGATTTCCATTTTCAGATTGCAATGGCTCTTTCAATAACGATCGAAGATATATTTCTTTTCTAAAAAATGCAAAAGCATCAGTTTTTTTCTATTACAGTATAATATAATTTTCAAGACAGATACAGTATAATAAAAAAAAAAGGGAAAGTGACGAATATATACACATACATTCAAATATATACACACCCACCTCTCCAGCCATTGTTGCTGATGCCCAATTACAGAACCTGGCCTACATATCCTTATCCAGGCGATTGTTTCGTGAGCCGTTAAATGATAATGCTTCATAATGTAGCAACCTATGAGAGAACCCGTTCTACCGAGACCCGCTTTACAATGTACGGCAATCGCGCCACTTGCGTTTTCCGTTATTTTAAGAAACTGATGCATTATTGCGTCCGTCGGCGTTGAACCGTCCATAAAGAATAGATCTTTATGAAAGAAACCGGCATCGGTGAAGCTTGCTGCATCGTAAACCTTTTTATTAAGCCGTATAATTGTTGTTACATTATTACGGCGAAAATATGTAAAATACCATTCTGGGCCATGAAGTGGATAACCTATGGAAAAGATACATAATTCTTGATGCATTATTTTACATAGTCATATAATTATCATTACATATAGTTATTATCAAGCTAGATGAATTAAGTGATAAAAGCTAAAAATTAAATGTACAGACAGATCTTTGCTATATACGTTCTTTAAAAAAAATATCTTTTTACAGTTTTAATTTAATGTCACACATTTATCTTCAAATTTTGCTCATACTTGTACGTGTCCCCTTGCTTTTGCACTCGCAAACACTCATTCCATGGATCTGTTTACTCACCAGATTCCTTCTCATTATTGAATTCTTTTTCATGCACACAATTCTACATCGTCACTAATACAATTAAAATGGAAGGTACGCACCATCTTCCATTTTAGATCTCGCATGTGGACCACAGAAAGCAATGAACTTTCCAGGAACTATCCAATTTAAATCTCCATTCTCAACTCTTTCGAAGTGTTCATATTCTTTAACACAGAAATCTTCGAAATTAAAGAAACCAAGTCGATGGCACTTATATATAGCACTTAAACAGTCTCTTAACGATATCTGATAGCATGGTGGTCCAACCGAAGCATCACGAAACATGATAAACGAAGGACTATTTGGACTTTTAGTTAAACATTCATAAACTTCTTGTGCTGTACGCTTGCAATACAATATCTGAAAATAAAAAAATAGATTTCAATGCAATGATAAATAAATCTTCTTTTCATAACATTTGCACTTACCGAGTGACAAAAAAAGTTTGGTCACAAAGTATTGTTTACCAAATTATTTTAATAAGTAATTACAAAAATATAAACTTTAAAGTATAAATTTTATCTTATTAAAGACCAAAAAATAATAATTAACTTTAAAAATGGCTTCTTTTAGTTTTGAAGCTTACAAGCTTTAAAGCGTTTCAGGAACACATTAACGATAGCTGCACATCTTTTCACGAATAAATTCTACCAGGCAGCCAATAAAGTAGTTTTTAGTTCAACCAATGAAAATTTTTCAGAGTACCTCTAGAATTTAAAAGAATACTAGCGTCGCATCTATTTTATCAATAAAACGCAATAAATTTTGTGAGGGATTTCGGAGTTTATGTTCAGAACAACAAATTTTCAATTGAAATGTTTTCTTACCATTTCTTATAGTCTATCTTATAGAATATGGAACTGTCAAATATTTGCTTAATATAAACAAGCTCTGCAATTTGTACCTATGAAATTGGGGTCTATAGACCTAGTGGGTTGTACAAAGAAATAATGTCGAATTCCTAGAATTAAACTTAAACATCTAATTTAATACAAAAATGTTTTACAAAAATTTATGCGTATCTTACGTGTGTAGTTGATGACATATAGTATGCAATGATGTGTCAATGTTCATAAATCATGTGTATATAAGTCACATTTCATTGATAAAACAGTAATCTCATCAGCTGTCTTGTCGATATCCCTTTAGTAAGATAAGTAACTAATATTCCAAGAGGTTAATCATGTAACTTTTTCTCCATCGGTGGAAATACAACGTGAAAATTATATATGTGTGTGTGTGTGTGTGTGCATACATACATATATATATATATATATATATATATATATATACATAAATATACAAAAATTTTCACTATTCACCGTTCTATTTTAGAGAAAAAGTTACATGATTAATATCCCAAATTTACCTTATTTTAAAAATATGTTACTATCCAGATAGCAGAATTGACATCAAAATGTCTTTAATGAAACTTTGGCATCAAAATAAGAACAAATAATATTAACTTGCCTAATAATTCAATAAGACATAAGACTTTGTGGCTATTCTTTTGTCACTCCAAATATATGTTGACTAACAAAAAATTATAAGAGAAAAAATTTTGTATTACCGCATAACTTCCTATAAGAAATGCAGCATTAACTCTTTTCTCCGAATCCATCGTCGTATAATGCACAAGTTTCTTTTTGCTGAGTGCAATGCCTTTTAACTTCTTATTAACTTTTTGGCAGTATCTGTATAGCACGGCCAGATTTAGGGGACCAAAGTCGGAGTAAAAATTTTCATATACCAACTCGTTGTCAATACTGAAGTAGTGAGTGTTTGGATTACTTTTTGGTTTCATTGCTGTTCTTAATGTTATAAAATACAATCGATCTGAAAGAAGAAACAATTTATTCTTTATTTTATACATCAAGTAAAAGAAAAACTTTGTTGTGGACGTTTCAACAACTATATACATAAAATAATGTAAAGCTTTCAGTTGTAGATGGCAATTTTGTTTGCAAAACTGCAACAACAATAACAAATTTCTGAGAAAACATGCCAAGAAGGTATTTAAATATCTTAAAAGTATAACAATTACAATTTTAGGAATAAAATGTAATTTAATGTAATATGAATATGCATCGATATGAAATAAATTTGCATATCGTTTATTAAAATTAAAGAAAGGGTTTTTTCTGTCGGAGACCTCGCAGATGTTTCGTTATAACGAAGCAAAACTGTTAATACAACAGCTTTGACGTTTAGCTTAAGCCGCAGCCCGCATTTACAACCGGAGGCAAGTCGCGCGGTCATCAAAAATAGATTCTAATCCAGAACGGATTACCTTTTATGAATTCAGCCGCACACGCCAAAACCTCGTTCGCGTCCTCCATCGTGATCCAGCAGCGGGTGTACGGCGCAGTAGCAGATACCGATCAGGTGGATCTGTCATCAGCGCGACGTTAATGCAAATAGGAGTAGCGTTCAATTAGCGGCGCGCAGTAAACACGCGGGAGTGGGCGGGTAACTAGGCGAAGTCTTCGGATTAATCGTTCGATTGGCGGCGATCTCTTCGGTGCTCTTCGGTGCTCTTCAGTGCTCTTCAGTCTCTTGGTCTCTGCCTACACGCGCAACAATCCGAGGTGCATTACGTCAGGAGAGCGCGTCGCGCCGCCTTCCCGGCGACACGTACGCTTTGGTTTTGCTATGTACAGCTATGTACACCCACGCGACGATGCCTCCGACAGACGACAACCTCCGTCACGGAAAGAGGGTGGGACGCTCGTCGGCGCGTATCAGCCCGTATCAGCTCGTAGCTCGTATTCGCCGCAGGCTACCGCTGCGACCGTTACGGAATTCAAACTCGAGGGGGAGAAGTGGAGAACGGAACCGGATTCTACGATGTTCTGCCGATTGGTGATGGCCGATGGCTGGTGGATTGCAACATTTGCAACAATGCGACCGGACGCGGCGGCGGCGGCGGCGCCCTACTCACCTCCGTTTCGCTTTTTTATCATTTATATTGTCGCCCCCGTTGATTCTGTCGATTCGCGCACATATATACGCCCTTATATTATTTCACACTCATCGCCGCGATAGTTTTTTCCTCGTTCTCTCGTCGTTCCCGCTGCCATACCCTAGTCCCTGACTTGTCACCATTATTTCACATTATCCGCTGAGAAAGTCGAGAGGAGCGCGAATCAGCGAATTTGGATTCAACCGCCATCTTGTTGTCTGATCACGCAGCGAGATAATAAAGGTTACGCGACAATCGACGGTCGAATGCTAAAAACACGCATATAGTAATTAATACAATTAATTTCTTCGCGAAAAACCCATTTTTTGGCCTCACTGATTTTAATTTCCTATAAATTCGTTATAAATTTTCAATGTTGGATATTTATATCTTTTTCGCAAAAATCGACCCAACACATCTGTATAATTTTTTTATGTTCTTCTCTACGTATTTTATTCTTACGTACGTAGTATGTATATTCCAATAATTTGGAACAAGTTATAATTTAATTGAAATACTTAATATTTTTAATAACAAAGTGATAATTGGGGATACTTGGGCCAGAGAGAAACCTCTCTGGCTCAGTGCTCAGTATCGGGTATCCTACTATCCTCAGAGGTTTCTCTCTGGCTGCGTTCAGTTCAGCAGACTCAGCATTTTGCAACCGTTTTATGACTCGTCGCGCTGATTGGATTATACTTATAGATTTAAAGGAATAGTCCTATCTCAGCGAAGAATCACATAACGGTTCCAAAACTGTTGAGTCTGCTGAATGTTCTATTTTTGTTAGAAAGATAGAATAATATTTGTTTCTAGGGTGCATTCGGGGAGGTACTATCAGCGCTATTTGTGTCATTCTATCTTCATTGTTTATTAGACGTAAAACAAAGATAGATGACACAAATAGCGCTGATAGCGCGATTCTCGAATGCAGCCTCGAACGACTGGAATTACTGTTCGATTTAAGATTTGATTGTTGATCTTCGCGCTCTTAAAGTACGCCATATTGTTTATGACCATCTGAACGCATAAAAACTCACTATATTTATTTTTCTATGAATATGTATTCTGATTGGGTATTCCCTCCTAAGTGAAGCAGCCATATTGTGACCGCAGCTGATGTAGCTGCACATGCGGGTGCGACATCAGTTGTATCTCACTTGTCAGAATGCAAAAAGAACATGCATTCAACTAAGTTATGACACAGAGAATCACTACATCCTTGTTATCCATGTCAAAGTACAAAATTGGTGAAATTTCAATCTTTAATCTTTAATTTCAATCTTCAATGCATAGTCTGATTCCGGCCTAAGTGTCTCTTTGGAAATTTGCATCAGTTTGCATGCACTCTAGTGCATCTTTGCCATTGGCTGCGTTCAGCAGAGAAAGCAGCTTCGCAGCAACTGTTGTAAAATTCCTCAATATGATTGGTCTTACCCTTAGTTCCTCATTGGACCTAAATGTATTAACCAATCATATTCAAGAATTTTACACAGTTGCAAAGCTGCTTTCTCTGCTGGACGCAGCCATATGCAGGATTCACCCTGTATCCGATTTGCGTCGTACGACGCAAATCGGATGCAAGGTGAATCCAGCATAATTCCTGAACGCAGCCCAGGGTATTGTGTAAAATAGGTTAGTGTTTTAGTTGCGCGCGTAAACGTTGCTGCAGCTGATGTTGACGATTCAATAATCATTTTATTCGGTGCTGTTTCCCAAAGACAGGTTGGTAGATTTACGGTTGTTAATTAATACTAATTGAGATATGATTTTCAATATTCCGATTCGGGAGTGTGACAAATGTTAAACCATATTCACCTTTCGTATCGTTGCGATACGCAGTCATCATATTCGTCGTAGTGTTGACATTTACATTATATAATTTACAGGAGTGAGATAAATTCTAAGGGAAATTTCAAGCATTCAAATGGATAAAATGGAGATGGACGCTTTGGAAACAGACGCAGCCTCGAATTCTTTCGTGTTCTCGAAACCAAATGCCGTATTTGATCTTCCAAGAGTTATTAATTTCGGTGTAGGTTCAGATCATGTGTTTGACACTCAAGTCAGTAAGAAGAATATATTTACATTCGCTTCACCCACAATAGTGTCGCAATGTAATCAAAGCCGCACAGGTAGTTTACATGATGAAGATCGAGGTGAGCGCTGTGCATTAGAGCAGTGGACCAATCTAAATAAATCTAACAAATATAAGCCAAGAATTTCTAGAAACACGTACAAGCCTACGATCAATGTATTTGCTAATGCCCTTAAAGACACGGGAGCATTTGAACAGTTGAAAAAGAATTCCAGGTCACGTATCACTAAAGTCAACATTGACAACTCGATAACATGCTCCAACGTACCGAAAGCCTTGCTGACTAAAACAGCAGCGAAGGAATATTTTATCAAGTATGGTAAAATCATAAAGGTAACTATTCGTCCGAAAAAACACGTAATCACGGTAATTTACGCGACAAAGATAGAGGCGAGTGCTGCATATTACGGCAGTGGTGATTACAAAGGTGAAAAGTTTGATATAGAATGGACAAAGCTGGAATCAACGGCGAAAAGGACAATTAAGAAGAAAGAATTGCAGCGCAATATAGTGGCAAATCTACTTAAAGCACCTGACGATGAGATTAAATCAGAATTGGAAGCTATGACGAATGTAGAGTATAATTTGCATCCTATCAAAGGAAACGAGGTGTCTGATATAAGCATGTTATTTCCGATAAAAGCCAAAGCACTGAGTGGTAAAACATTGTCGCATGAGAAAGCTTTGGGAAAATTGGAGAAAGTTACAACGAAAATCGAGAAGCACGATACCGAGAGTCAGATAGTTAAGTCTTTGCCCAGTAAATCTAAAGAAGAACTGCAAAATATAATACATCAAGTTGCTCTTACGGCTGAAGATAAGTACAAAGTGTTGGAGGCTAGAGACCGTCTGATGAGACTGAAGCGAGCCAAGCCAGTTTCGCTTGCAATGGTAACCAGCGGCACTTGCCCTGATATGTGCCCAGAGAAGGAACGTTTAATGCGCGAGTCTCAGAGACAAGTCGCGTCGTACGAACAACTGGAAGGTAACGAGTACAGAATAAGTCATGCGATTGCTGTAAAGCAATATTCGAGATCTTCCGCGGATCAGGAAGAGCCGATGCCTCACGAGTTAAGGCCGGTGAAATCTTTGAAGATGACCATGAGCTACTTGCTTCACGAGTTGATGGATCTCTGTGAGCAGGAAGGTACAAATCTAGCCGAATGGTATCACTTTCTTTGGGATAGGACGAGAGGTATTAGGAAGGATATCACGCAGCAGGAACTGTGCTGCAAGGAAAGTGTCGAATTGATCGAGCAGTGTGCTAGGTTTCACATAGTATGCTCCGAAAGGCTCTGCGCGGAGGATGCATCTGTTTTCGACAAGAAGATCAATTCGGAGAATTTGACCAAGTGTTTGCAGACTTTGAAGTACATGTACCACGATTTGAGAGTAAAGGGTATCACCTGTGAAAACGAGCCTGAATTCAGGGCGTACATTGTGCTGCTAAATTTGAACAACGGTAACTTCCTGTACGACTTGCAACAGCTGCCGACTCCCGTGCAAAATTCACCGCAAGTCCAATTTGCGATCAAAGTCTACTTTTCGTTGGACTCGAACAATTACTACAAATTTTTTAAACTTGTTCGAGAGACGACTTACTTGAACGCCTGCATCCTATTAAGATATTTCAATCAAATCAGACTGAGAGCTCTTTCGATAATGGTGAAGGCATACTGTAGAAGTACTTCAACCGCTTTTCCATTATACGAATTAATAGATATCCTCGGCTTTGAGGATGAGAACGAGGCTATATATTTCTGCGAACAAGCAGGATTGAATCTGTCGAACGACGAGATGTACATTCTCCTGAATCGTCAGAGTTTTAATATGCCCACGGCGAGTATCCAGCAGGGTAGGGCTTGTAACTTAATAGAATCCAAGAGAATCATTTTAAATTTTAGTATTGGACAATGCATCGCCGGTAAAAAAATGCCAGAGAAGACTTACAAGAATCATAAGCCACATAACAGTTTCGACGTGCACGGCTATTTGATGCCTGAATCGATCAACGCCGCGGACCAAACTGCTGATGGTTCCTCTATGGAACGGCACGATCCATACGAATTCGTAGAAAAGGAAACAAAGAGGATAGCAAAGGTGACATCAATCCGGAATAAAGATCAGAGAGCCGCAAAGGATCTTCTTCGACCTGTGCAAACTCGAAAGCAGCCAATAAACGCGAACAACGAAGCGAGCGCGTTTAAACACGCGTCATTTCCCGAATCGATCAGCTCAGACGTTTTTAAAACGGTAGCACCGTGTGTACCGGATGTATTCGAACACAAGCCAAAAGAATCGAATGTATTTATTGAGAACAAAACTCAAGTTGATACATCGATTAAAGTAGCTTCTGAAAAATATTCTGACAGCGGAAGTGCGACTAGTACACGTCGCGAAGACACTAATGATAAACAACAGCCAGCGATGTTTGGTAGCAGCAGTATTATCGGTAATAATTTATTTGTAGGCAGCCCTTCCGTGTTCTCTACACCAGAAACATCACGTAATGCAGAAACAGTCCCGCCGTTTGCGATGGCTGTAAATAAGAGCATCTTCTCCGGGGTAGACTCGGGAAATTTATTCAGGAACGTTACACCTTCTTCCCCCACGATATTTGTTAATAAACATTTTCCCGTACCGGTTTCTGTTCAACAGTCAGTGTTCGCAGATGTTGCGAGTAAGACGAAGAAGGAGCAAAATGTCTTCCATAAGAAGGAACAGAAGGCCCAGGAAGAAGTGATATCGGAGGCTGAGAAAGCGAGGCTAGAGAAGCTGGAGTACGCGAAGAGAATGCAGCGAATTGAGGAGCAGTCGGAAGAGATTTACAATAGCTTGCGCGCAGAAGTCACAAATGAGTTTTGCTCCACCATCGCGAAACAGGACATCGACAGGATAGAAATGTATAACACATTGAGCAAGAGAATCCTTTCAGACATGATCGGCGAAGTTACTCATGAGATTTGCGATACAATACTGACCGCGGAGATTGAACAGCAAAAAAAATTACAGGCGATGTTACTGCGAATTAAGAATCGAGTGATCGTCAAATGCGTCAACATCTGGAAGCAGTACGTATTGAGAAAGAAGCGGCAAAGAGCGGCGTTGGAAGACACGCCGGTTTGGTTGCAGAAGCATTCCGTGGAGGAAACAGCGCGGATGCTGTATACCAAAGAGCAGGGAGTGGTGGTGCAGAATATGTGTAAACAACGAGGCGAATCAGAGGATATAGCAACCAACGCGACGGAGACTCTTGCGCCTATCGAAATTATCGTGTATGCCGGCATCAAGGAGAACATACGATCGTTGGACCTCGAATCCTTGCCTAACGTATATTGGAAACTCGTCATTTCCTGGCCGGACTTGGCCAACAAAGCGGTCTTGTGGTATTACAAGAAGGTGATGAATGAATACTTGAACCCCGACGATTTTACGATGGATCCTATCGTGAAGATTTACCGGCCAAATCCCTATGAGACCTTGCACGTCTGTATAAGGCATTTCGAGGGTTTGATCAGCGAACATCACTTGGTCGGTGCCGACGCACTTCTATTCATCGCTGATGCCTCGGAGAATTACAGATCTGTAGCGAAACGTTTAACGAGGACCGTATTGTCGCGGCAGAAGCTAATGCCTATGCCGCTCGCCTTTATTGTCTTAGGTAACGGAGACTTGGAGAATCAGAATGATAGTATCGTCTCAGATTTGGAATCCTTTCTGGAATCTGGCTACGTATCGGAATATACAATCATGTACGAGGAGAATCTGTCTGCGAAAATTATCTTAAATTTGACGCAAAGCGCAGTTTTATGGTTGACGATGAACAAATCACCATCGAATCCGCTGGAAATGGATTATCTGTTTAATGTATACGATATATGTTTGTCCGAAGAGTTATGGTTGAGGTAAGAAATAATTTCTGTACTTATCTAATTATATAGATATTTTCTAATATGTACATAATACACTATATTCTGTTTGTTATTATAATTTTCAGGATACTGGGTGATTCTATGTACAATAAACAGTTGTCAGATGCATTAAAGGACCCAAACTTTGTAATTGATTTGCACAATGAGGCTGTAAATCACTTGATAGACATAATCTTAGATCCAGAATCCATGTTATATACAAATTTCGCGCCCGAGTTGAAGAAATTCCTCAAAAACAGCGGCAACATGCCATGCAGTTATGAATATTTTAACGAATCATGGAAACGAGATGAATACAGAGCAAAATTAGAGACCATGATGAACAGTTTTGTGCTACCGCCGTGGAAGTAAGTATTAATCTATATCAATGTAATTTTATTAATTATATTAATATATCTATACCTATATACAATAAAACATACACGATATCTGTGTATGTATCAATATTTTGTTATTTACGTCATTTATTTTTTCATTTCAGTGCGCCGTGGCCAATAACAGACATACAAGATCTACGACGACATATTATGAATTATTGCAGGGAGGTGTTGTCCGATTCAAACTGTAATATCGTTTTTTGCGATATATTGAGCAACTTATTCCTCACCTCGGGCAGTTTACAAGTATCAAATTTCGTACATATACTACTATATATGATCAAAGAGAAGATACATCTTCTGGACGGAGATCAAATGGTCATTTACAACAGAAATCACATCAAGCATTTCCAGACATTACCATGGTGGTTCAAATCCAACGTACTGACAGAATTCATGTTGCACGAATCAAGCTCTGATAATAATATCATGTTAAATGAACCGATGAGAAAGCGAAAGAGACTCGATAAATTGGAAAATAATTTGGATGACAGCGCATTAGATGAGGAATTTAGTTTACTAGCGGAGTTTTGCGAGAGCACTAAGACCCGTGTCATGGAGGTGCATTCTGTGTCTATAGAGGTAGAGAATCGCTTGCAAACACAACAATTAGAGAACGCATTATTGGAAGACAGGCTGAAGAACGCTTTACTTGAGATGGACCCAACAGAGGAAGGCATGTAAGTTTTCCCTGTTTAACCGTATGACATATTTTTTAATATTTTTTGTCTCATCATTTTATATTATTATACACGTTATGTACAACATGCGATGATTTACTTTTGAAACAATGTTTTCCAGTCAAATATATCTCGATATGTATAACATTTGAAACATATTTATACATAACTAAAGGGAATATATGTGAAATCGCTGCTACGATCTCACTTAAATGTCATTAAGTTGTTCATATATTATAAGAATCATAAAAATAGAGCTAGTCATTAATTTATTTTTCGTAATATAATTGTTTCTTATATGTGTATATATATATATATATATATATGTACATATATATATATATACAATATGTAATTCGTAGAATTATATGATTCGGAAAATATATATTTTTAACAAAACGCTTTTCCACGGTCTTAAAAGTATTGTCACTTGATATTGTACACTCATAACACAGTCAAATTCTCATAGAGAAGATAAGAAAGAGAAACTTCTTCAGAAATGATGAATATTTCACTGAAAGAATCAGTGCAATGAATACATATTAAATTCATTTATTAAATTAGTCACACAAATTTTCTTTTCTCATATTCATATATATCTCTTTAACTTGTATTACTCGTTCCGTTCCCGCCTCCTTCCACCATATAATTTTATTATATACGTGATGAATCCAGACATGTATGCGCCTTCAAAGAGAGATATATTTAAAATATAGGATACATTATTTTACACGAAAACTATTAATAAAATTTATCGATGAGATCAAATGATGCTATGATACAAGGTTTTGTGACATATACAGAATATAATACAAAAATTGACGTATTTTACTTTCTTGTAAAAAAATTTTGTATAACAATTTTCAAATGTATAATTATATAAAACCTCAAATGTGTAAATTAATGTTACGATGACTCTTGATTACCAAGATTTTTCATTTTGTTACTCAGAACACATACATTTACAGTTCCTTTATATTTCATTATTAATTGATGACTTAATCGGAATAGATCGACGCGTAGCGAGTTATATATTTTTATTTGGTTCGGCTATGCTTTTGATTTATTCCTAATTCGAATCTCTATTTATGAGATAAATATGACAACTATAAGAGTCTCTTACAGTATTTCAAACAAAACATTATGTCATAATTATTCTATGATATATCTAAAGATTATGCGGGAAATATACTATGTCACGATGCATAAATATTCGAACCATTGGAAGAAGATAAAAAATTTAATTTATTCAGTAAAAATAAATGATTAAGTTGAACATGATATGTTATTAAAAATATAACATATTATGTAATGTAAGATACACATACGCGTCGTATATGACATTGTGATGCTCTTGAATGAGATATCGCTCTGTTAAAATTATTATGCACGTAAGTTACGACATGTAAATAATGTGCTAAACATAGACCAGTATTTTCATAATAAAACACATGAGCATATACCTCCTTCGTGTTACAGAATACATAGACAAACGCGTATTGATAAATGTATTTCTTTAAGATACATCTATTTTAAAATAAATACACAAAAGATCTATGTGTTTCAAGAAGTTTAATTCTGAGGGATTCATATAAAAGATTTAATTTACTTTTAAATAAAAATGAGAAAGACATAAACAAGGAATATATATACGTACATTTTCCAAATCTTAATATCCGCGAAAATGATATTTTGTTACAAGATGTGACAACATATACGCAGTATAAAATGATATTTAAGATCAAGTTACAAAGATCTAATTTTGTGATAAACATTTTGAAACTGATATGAATTAATTTGTACTTGAGGCGAATGTAACATAAATATCTTCAATAAATGAGTCATATATTTTTTTACTTGTACTATATAATTTGGTGATTGCATAATTTGTAAGGGCTCAGAGATTTTCGAACTTTTAAAATTATCAAATATTAGTTAACAATAAGCTGCCGATATATACATATATATATATATATATAAGAGAGTTATATTGAACGTAATTGATATATGAAAATAAATAAAACAACTCATGTTTTAAACTTTTCCTCCGCTCTGAACAGTTATACTTTTAATTACAAGTCTAGATGAAAAATTTTTTTCTCGCTGAAAAAAAATATCAACGGAAAGAGTAATCCAGGACGATGATGCCTCATGTATAATTTACAGATAAGGAAGCGAGCTCACGAGTAAACAAGCGAGAACATACAAAATACCTAGAAACGAATTTAATCCAGCTGTCCGTTTAGGCACGTTTTGAATTCTATGCGGATTGCGAAAGTCCTTTTCTATTTTGAAGGCAGTCGGCAAAGTGATCACTGGCAGTACAAACCAGAGGGAATATCTAAACGCCACTACTATAAGAATTATATATGGTGTAAACAGTAAAAACGCATACAAAACATGAGACGCGGTATGACCTATTAAAATAGCTAGTGTTACGATTCCTGCTTTCTCGTCACTTTCCATATCTCTCGTGTTGTTACTGTGCAAAATAGCCTCGGTATTCAAGGCAAGCGGTATCGCGTAATAAATTGTTCCTAGTTCAACGTAACCAGTTTGCGCCATAAACGCAAATAGAACTGAGATTGGACCGAATATAACTAAGATAAGTACATCGCCTAGAGCGATATATTTCAATCCTATACCTCCTGTATAGAGAAAGGAGGAGGACAAACCTCCGAAATACACAAGAGCCAAATGCTCCATCTTTGCGGGAGAGATGACTGCCAGTAAGACAAATCCTAAACATCCTGCTGCGTATAGAAATGCCCCCAGTGTGACCAATTCGTCTTTGGACAGTAACTCATCTACCAGTATTCTGTCATCGCTTTTTCTACTATCAACGCCTTTTACGTAGTCAAAATAAGTGTTCACTACATTACCAGCACCATGCACGCAAAACACTATAAGCACAGTAAGGCATAGCGATATCCAATTAAAGCTCGCTAGGCCTGGTAGTCGATATGCAAGCGCTGATCCGAGAAGCGTCGGCATCAACGACGCACTCAGCGACCACGGTCGCGCTGCCAGGAAGTACGAAGATAGCTTCATGAGGGGAGAATTCAAGGCCGACGATGGCGATGATACCAAGGACGAATGATGTACATTATTCCCCATTGAGGTATCTTCAATTTGCTCAGTCGGATTCTGAATGCCGTTAGACATCATGTTTCATGTACAGAGTACTACTACAAACAAACAAAAACACATCACTTAAATGCTGAAGTAATAAAACCTTAAGGAATCTACAAAGAAAAAACGTTAAGACTAGATTTGCAAGTTAGATGCAATGAACAAACGTCCTAATAATATATATCTTATATCTTAATAATAAATATATCTTAGCAAAAGTAACTTTTAGGTTTTGCCTCTTACATGTTGACACAAAATAAGGAGAGAGGAAAAAAAAGATAAATATTGAGCGATACAAACTTTTTAATACAACGATGTCCTGGAGTATCGTACTTAACGGTATCTTAATTTCATGTGCGCATTGCGCAGTCCGTGCGTTTCCATATGTGACTTATTAGGGAGTTTTTGCAATGCCGTTTATCCAGGTACGGTGCGAAAGCTAAGGTCATGTTATCTTCTTTTTAACAACTAATTAAGAAAAGGATAACGTGACTGGATTCATGTTACGCAAAAACTCCCTATTCCTTAAATCAAACGATCAAGAGTATCAAGAAAAATGAAATTATATAGGACGCAAGGACGACGAGAGCGAATACGCGTCAAGCAAGATAGCGGTTATTCCAGGTTATTCCAGGTTATTCTCGACAGGGATCGGTATGTTAATTTCTTGTCGCGCGTTGAGAAGGCAAACTCACCTGAGATTCTTTTGGAAAACAGGTACGGATGAAATTAGGTTAAAACCAAGACACTGTCTGCGGCAACTCATATGACGTTTCGCCCTTCGCGAGCGTCCTGGTACATCATATAATTATTCGTCGCTACGTTGGTGCTTGCTCGGACGGCATTACGACGCGGGTGCTATAACTTGCTCCAAATGATCTTCCTCTTTCCTTCCTCTTCCACTAGTCCGTCCTTTACCTCCTTTACTTAACTTGCTTTACCTGCTAGAGGATTCAGTATTGGGACATGGCGGGTGTGTTCATTTTTGCTGCACTATGTCGCGAAATTTTCGTTCGACATGTGACATCGTGGCAATAAATGTAGTAAATAGAAGAAAGAATAATGAAGAAAAAGATGGGAAAAACGTAAAATTGGAAATACGCTTTAGTAAGTGTTTGTCTTCTCTCTCTAATTTTTAAAAAGAGAAAACAAACTTAGAGAGGTTTATACCTTATATTTAAAATTATATATATGTATAAAAGTATAATTTTAATTAAACACACACGCGCGCGCGCGCGCGCATATATATACATATATATATATATATATATATATATATATATATATATATATATAGTGAGAAGATAATTTTTAAAAGGCTATTCTTAAATGAATTTAAGGTTCCAGCCAATGAAATGACTTCCCAAGATGCAATATAGAACTGGAGTAACCATCCAATCGTTATTCTATGTAAAATTTATCCTATGTAAATATGTACACACATATGACAAATAAAATAGCTCAGCTGATATGTACATGTGGTCATGGTATAAGGATAAGGGTATGCTCACGCAGTGGATACCCACTGCGCAGTCAAAGTGTGACG